TACTTGTATGGTAAAACAAGACAATTGAATAAAGACTTTATTAAATATGATTGGAGGAATAAAAGGTGAAATAATTCGAATGCATTTCTTAACTGTAAATTCCATCTGGCTACACTCAGATCATTCATCTAAATTATTCCATTTAATGTCATGTTAATTATTTGAAGATATGAAGACCAAGATGTTGTGGCCTCTGGTATGGTCGCAGTCTCCTTCCGATTTATAGAAGTGGGTTGACCTCGTCGCAACTTGGTCTTGTTGTTAGGGGAACTTAGTAGAACGCACCTGGTCCAATATGATCGCTGCTCTCACCACTTTTGGCAAACGTATACATGAACAAAATAGAAGAGAACTTCAAGATGACACCGCTACAACCGGCAGTACTCATGCGGTACCTAGATGATTATTTCGCACTTTGGTCGCAAGGAAAAGAAAAACTCGAGGAGTTTCTGAAGTTTTGTAAACCAGATTGATTGAAAAATTCAATTCACAATGGAAGTAGAGGAAGGTGAATGGTTACCGATCCTGAACGTTGAAGTGATTCGCTCTAATAGGACGCTCAAAAAGAAATTGTTCAGAAAGAAGTCCTATGCTGGGATAATACTCAATTTTCCGTCCCATCACAATTACTTGCTAAACATAGGAATAATGAGAAACATGATCATCCGAAGCCTACGCCTAACGGATGCAGATTTCTGGGACAAGGAGCTGGACAACTTGACGAGGATATTCCTCAGCAATGACTAACCAATCGAAATGATAAAAAGAAACATACGGGCCGTGAAAAGCCGATGGCAGAATTGGGACTATGAAAGAAAATTACGGACGATGAAGGATTCACAAATGTGGATATGCCTCCCTTCTTTTTGAACTAACTCAAAAACTATGGCCAATATTGAGTAAATGGAATAGTAAGGTGGCTATGAAAGACATGGTAGACAAATTGGATTGTTCAGGAGTTTACTGTATGCCATTCGGCGCCTAAGATAAGAAATATATTTGCGAAACAGGGGAAAAAATAGCACACGAATTATGGAACATGAGAGGCTCTGCAGGAAAATGGATACCGAAAGATCAGAACTAGCGGAACACATCGCACAGACTATACAGGAGATCAATTTGAAGGCAACAGAAAGAAGAGCCCCATACTGTGACAACATAAGGAAGCGCAAGATTAGGGAGGCCATTGATCCTTGTGGTGAAAAATCTAATGAATAGTAGATTGGAGGAGGATAGAGTTAGCGATATTTTTGCCTACTGCTTAAGCAAGCTTGAGGAAAACAAGAATAGAGCAAGACTAGCAAAAAGGCGACGCCCGGATCAAGGATCTACCGCTAACCGAAGGAAAAAATATCGCGATGAAAAAAATGGGGACTGGTTTTTAGAAGTAAAGCGAAGACGTTGTCAGTGCGTGATGTCCATTTCGAATAAGCCAGTATAACTTTGGGGTCCTGGCAGTCAGGGAGCTGGGCAGACGGACAAACAAACCATTACGGTAATTCGGTGTCATGGCCAAAATATACAAGAAATCCACTTGAGATGTCGCATGCGACCAGAGATAGGAGTCCACTGTTTGATCAGATACTATGAGTTTAATCACGGAAAGGACCCGTGAAGGGAAGGCCTAATATCTGCAAGCATGGGAATCAGAGCTTAGGCGCTCTGCTCAGTGAAGCGGCAGTGTGCATACTGGGATTGTAACCGAGTGAAATCGGTCAACCAGAAAGATAAGGAACGGATCTATGAGACAATGAGGTTATTCCGATTGGAAGCTTGAGTCAGATCAGCCGATCGAAAGAGAGGGGTTTGGGGTGAGTAGCAAGTGCGATGAGGCCACATTAGATTTGCCACAAAAGGGCACACATTTTGACGAGTGTAATGTAAACAAGTGAGAAGTTCGGATAGGGCGGCAGTAGGAGAAGAGGGTAATGAGTAGATAGATAGGCCAGGAAAGAAAGAGAAGTGATACTATAACCGTTTCGGCAGAACGTTTAGTCTTTCCTAGATATTAACAGCATATGGTGACCGTAATAAAATATTTAGTAAATACTTGCCTTTTTTTGAGAATTCAGTTTATTCTACAACAGGCTAAGGGGGCGGTTGCTAATTAGGATTCATCACTAATCGATATTTAATTCGTTAAGAATATTCTTCGGTCCGAAGGCGAAATTGGCTCTTAATAATCTCGTTGCTGGCGTTGACTTTCATATGACGGTATAAAAGATTAATATGTATTGCGCAGTACAAGATCATTCCTCTTAGCTTGTCATAGTTCCTATTGAAAAGTTCCACCGTTCTTATTGGTTCAGATGCATATATGCAGAATTTGTATCGAGAAGCTGAGTTTCGAAGTCTTTTAATAAATTGATGTTAACGTACCTTTCCTTCAGTTTAAATAGATGAATGGAATAGTATACTGAGTAACACTATAAGACAACTGAGAGATAAGGGATATGGTATTTAGTTCAAGTCAATGAATACTAGTAATGATGGATAGGGCTAGTTGTGCTGATAAGATTATATAGGCTTTAGATACGATCACTCAGTCCTACAGGGGTTGCCTTCAACATCGTGCAACAAACGGGGAATTATAGAAGTATAAACTGGACTCTCCTTTCTGAGTTGCCAGTATTGTCGTAATTAATAGGGTTTTCGCGATGCTTAACGGATTATTTGTTACCAATTAAGGCAAATCTTTAAGACCTTGCTTTTTTATATCAAGAATTTGTTCGTGTTAGTAGATGCGCAGATGATATAAGAGGGGTTATTTGTGATGTCGACATATTCAGACTACTTAGGTTCAAGAATTAACATTATATCACTGAAATTTAGATGAATAAAAACTTAAACATATATATAAAGGCCAAGATGTTGTGACATTTATTTTGGTCGCAGTCTCCATTCGATGTATAGAAATAGTTTGACCTCGTTTTCGCAATTTTGTCGTGTTGTCAGGGGGACTTTGTTGGACGCACCTTGTCCGAAGTCCTTTGTTATGGTAGTTATCTTATCTGGAAGTATACAAGGAAATCACATTAAGAGATGTCTCATTAAAGGAGAAGAGTTAAGCATCCA